CCTATGGCGTTCGTGTCATTTCTTCAGGTTTTCAGAAGGACAACATATGGTTGTTCCTCGGGAAAATCAAAATTTTCCTTCCAATTTCACATTTAGGACGGATTTCCTGTTGTAGCTGTTGCTGGTATTCCGCTTCATCATCTATCTTAAACACGCCTCTCATTTGGCGATTCTGGTTCAGCATGTATCTACAAGGGCGGAGACACCCTCATTTGCTGGGGCTCAAAAAAAGGCATATGCTTCAAAGCAACCCTGCACGGCTTAAAACAGCGGGGGGGTTGGGGGGGGCGCAGCCCCCCCCATTTGCAGAGACAACGTTCACATGATGGGCTTCGAAAACACTCTTTGAATTAAGCTTGCACGTTTCGAAAAGCGCGGCGGCGGGTGTTTTGTTCTTCCGTGCCTGTTCGTGTCTCTTCTTCCGTTAGCATTCTAACCCAATATATATATAACATAGTAAACCAGAAGAACGACATAAGATGGTTCGACAACACAAAATGGTGTGACATTTTCTGACATAACAGAACCTTGCTTCTTATAGCATATAATAGCATACTGAAAATACAACAATACAATATAACAGAAGATGACATAGAACAAAACAACATCTTAGTTTATAGTGTAGTACATTGTAACATAGTACAGTACAGTGTGTATATTTACAACATAATATGTAGTATATTTTATAGGTTACATTTACATTATGTTATATTATGTTACGGTACATTACGATATTATGGTAAATTCGATTGGACTATGTAGTATCCTGTTGCTTGTATCTTTGTTTCTGCGATTAGTTCATATTCTTTCTCTTTCGTCTTCTCCAACTTTGCTTTTTTATTCTGGACTTTCTTTTTTCGCTCGTTCATTTCTTTTCTTTCTTTCTGTTGTTCTTTCTTTGTTCATCTCATACTCCATTCCTTTCTTTCTTGCTTTCTTTCTGGTTTGATTTATTTCGTTCTTTCTTTGGTTCGGTCTTTCTTTCGTTCTTGCGTTCGTTCTTTCTTTCGTTTTCGCTTTCGTTCTTTCGTTCTCTCTCTCGTTCTATCTTTCTTTCTTTCTGTTGTCCTTTCTTTCGTCCTCTTTAGATACAGCAATTTGCCTACGTTTTCCTTGATTTTTCGTAGGCAAAACCCTATTTTCCTATTACCTATGGACCTATGGGGTTCGTGTCATTTCTTCAGGTTTTCAGAAGGACAACATATGGTTTTACTCGGGAAAATCAAATTTTCCTTCCAATTTCACATTTAGGACGGATTTCCTGTTGTAGCTGTTGCTGGTATTCCGCTTCATCATCTATCTTAAACACGCCCCTCATTTGGCGATTCTGGTTCAGCATGTATCTACAAGGGCGGAGACGCCCTCATTTGCTGGGGTTCAAAAAAAGGCATATGCTTCAAAGCAACCCTGCACGGCTTAAAACAGCGGGGGGGTTGGGGGGGGGCGCAGCCCCCGCCATTTGCAGAGACAACGTTCACATGATGGGCTTCGAAAACACTCTTTGAATCAAGCTTGCACGTCTCGAAAAGCGCGGCGGCGGGTGTTTTGTTCTTCCGCGCCTGTTCGTGTCTCTTCTTCCGTGAGCATTCTAACCCAATATATATATAACATAGTAAACCAGAAGAACGACATAAGATGGTTCGACAACACAAAAAATGGTGTGACATTTTCTGACATAACAGAACCTTGCTTCTTATAGCATATAATAGCATACTGAAAATACAACAACGCAATATAACAGAAGATGACATAGAACAAAACAACATCTTAGTTTATAGTGTAGTACATTGTAACATAGTACAATACAGTGTGTATATTTACAACATAATATGTAGTATATTTTATAACATTAGGTTACATTATGACATATTATGTTACGGTACATTACGATATTATGGTAAATTCGATTGGACTATGTAGTATCCTGTTGCTTGTATCTTTGTTTCTGTGATTCTTTCATATTCTTTCTCTTTCGTCTTTTCCAACTTTGCTTTTTTATTCTGGACTTCTTTCTGTCTTTCGCTCGTTCATTTCTGTTCTTTCTTTCTGTTGTTCTTTCTTTGTTCATCTCATACTCCCTTCCTTTCTTTCTTGCTTTCTTTCTGGCTTGATTTATTTCGTTCTTTCTTTGGTTCGTTCTTTCTTTCGTTATTGCTTTCGTTCTTTCTTTCGTTTTTGCTTTCGTTCTTTCGTTCTCTCTCTCGTTCTTTCTTGCATGGCTTTCTTTATTTCTTTCTTTCTTTTGTTCTTTCTTTGTTTCTTTCTTTTGTTGTTTCTTTATTTCTTTATTTCGTTCTTTCTTTCGTTATGTCTTTCTTCCTTCCTTTCTTTCTTTAGTTCGTTCTTTCTTTCTTTCTTTCCTTCTCTCTCTCTCTCTGTCTTTCTTTCCTTCCTTTTTCCCCTTCCTTTCGCGGATACCCGTTTAATTTTTTTTGATCCTTATTTAATTTTTTTTGATCCTTATTTAATTTTTTTTGATCCTTATTTAATTTTTTTTTAACCCCTATCCCGCTATTTGACTTCACTGCAGATGCTGCTTGTCTCGGAAAAGCTGGTAAGACTGAAATTGTGCACAGTGGTGACGTGTGGATTTTGGGGGTGACCCCCATTGTCCATGGACGAGTCAATGGAAGAGGACACTACACACACGCACACATACGCACGCACACACACAGACATGTTGACAGGCACACCAACAGCGAACGGACCAACGGACCGACGAGCGCGCGAGCGGGCGAACGGACGAACCAAGCAAAAAAATTGTAAACAGAGCATAGTGCATCCGAGGACTGGGGCGATGGTGCAGGTGGCGCTCCACTCCCTCCTGGTAAAGGCAACTAGCGACTGGAAAGCTGCGAGATCACGCCTCGAGCTGCTACGTGCATTGCAAATCGATGACTCATGCTTTCGGGTTCCTAGGGTGCGATTGTGACTCTAACTGGGTGCTAGGGGTTCTGATATTTCTCAGGCTACTCGGAGGTTTGGCTTGCTGTGGCACGTAGCTCCCTGCGCCCTAGCACCACATCAGAGATACTGTAGTGAGAACCACCGCACTGGACTTGATGTTCTAATGCTCGTATGAACAGGAACAGTCACTTTATCTGAAAGCGCAGAGTTCCAGTAAAGCATTGCGGCATTGTGTGCCTCAGGCAGGGCACCCTCGCTGACCGCTTCATCGATCTTTGCTTCCACCGCCTGCAACACGATTGACTCCACGGTGCTTGGGCATGCTTGGGCATTCTAGCTGCGGGCGGGTCGGGGAACAAGAGTTTTTATTTCCGTTGAAACCAAGATCTTTCTGCAAGGCCAATCTGCCCCCGCAACCTTCTTCTTCTCTCAGGTTGGAAGACAGTGCAGACCGCTCGAGCCAAAGGGCATCAACTTATTTTCATTTTGCCAACTTGGTGTTAATACTTCATCTTTATGTACTTATTGGATTTATTTGTTATTTACATAGGTATTTCATCATTCACGAGCTTATCTATAAGCATTCCTTACACTTCCTTATCTACTAGCTACTAATAATGTTCCGTTTGCTTATATGTCCATCTACCCATTGGCTTATGCATTTCATGTGCTTACCCGGCCGGAGCGGTCAGAGGTTTCCAGCTTTCCCCTCCAAGAACCGCTTTCCCCGCCTCTGAATCCCTCCCTGGTCACCCACCCGCGCCGGGCCACTAAACATTGGATTTTCTGGCGAGTGGGCCTTCCGGGACCCCTTCAACATGCATCGCTCTTTTGAACTTCCCAGCCCGGCTTCCACTTTGGCACTGCCGCTGCTGGGCTCCCACTAAGTCACTTGTGCTGCAAACTACAAGGGACGCTTCCCACAGTGGACATGGATCAGACACGGCTGAAATTGCTCCCTTGACACACGAAGTCAAAGTGGACGACACGTCAGTGCAAGAGCTGCATTGGCCTTCAGCTCGTCGCGAAGCGCTGCTGCACGCTCGCGAAGCTGGGTGAGTCGCGCAGACTCCATGGCAAAGACAGGTAGGGAAGCGTGGTCAGGTTGCAGTGTCTTGCGTCTTACATGTCTTACTATGGAACCTGGGAGCACTGGGCCCATCATGAGACAGAGCCCTTCACCAAGATGTAGCAGAACCTTTCTGTACAATCACTGGTGTTGGGGAGATTTTTGCTGCTGACTCATGCACCTGCGAGCCAGTGCCAACCAGTTCCAGCGCAAACATCGACACCATATACTTTGCCTTTGTATGGGTGTTGATAAGTGTTGTTATCCGGGCTCGGGGAAGGACGGGCTGCGAAGCATCGCACTAAACGTTCACGGAAGTGTACAGGTCGGTATCGTTCTCGACATTCCACTGCGAATCCAACTTATTGATCAATGTTCTCTGGAGATCTCATGAAATCATATCGTAGCTTTGTCAAGACTGAATATGAAGCGTCCCTGCAAAAACGCTGCATTTGGCCCACCTGAAAGTCGAACTCATATTGTGGCATGGCTTCCCGTGTCCTGCCTCACCGCGACGAACAACAGATGCTGAGCCATCCAGGACTCCAGCCCAAGGGTGCCGAGGCATCACGGCACTTGCACCGATTGACCACCCAAGGTCGTAAACTTGAGTCCCGACTGTACACTTACGCAAATTCCCGCACCCCCACCCTCGAAGTCCTCAAAACTGCTCTCGATCGTTAATCCTCCCGAGTTCCCTACGCCCAAAGTCCTAATGTCGACTCTCAATTCAAGTACACACCCAAATTCCCTATGCCCAAGCCCCTTAACTTGCTTCTCGATCGACATCCATAGACTGCAACCCCACCTTTACTCCCTACAAGTATGCCCTAAACCAGGCCGAAATTTGCAACATTAGCTTACAAAGTTCAAGATGCATCTAGAAGCGCAGCCACTTGACCCAAAACAGCTGTGGCAGCCAAACCACATGCAAATACTTCAGAACTCACATAGCCCCGACGGCAAAGGCCCGGGATGTAGCTGCATGTTGGCTTCTGAACACACGATTCTCCGAGCTCCAGTCATCGTGCCCGGGGGCGGCAAGATCGTAAGCCCTGTGATTCGGACCTGAACGTCTCTTCTACTTGGCACCAAACGGCGCAAGACTCAGAAATGTGGAGCTGTTCTCTTGTGCAATGCACAACAGGCGGCTGTGTCAAGTCAGGCCAGCCTGATCGGGACCTTCTCTTCCGAGCAAGGACGAGCAAACCTGGGGTGGAGCATTGTTCACCCCTCTAGCGGATCGTCAGTGCCTGCACATTCAAACCTTGTATTGTTCGCAGACTTTATCACACAAGCCCGAGATGTTCATGGCCCCGACGCCCCAGTGACACTTCAGGTTGGTGCGCATCTCGCACATGTAGCCTGAGTTGGTCTGCACCTTCTAATTCCGCAGCTGCTGAGGATGCAAAGCAACGAGTGACAAGAGCTGGCAAGAAGGGGCATGCCAGCGCCAACTCGAAGCAGACTCACACACAAAGGAAAAATAGGCTCGCTGCCCATGTTCGAGCGCCAGTAAGGAGAGCCCATTGTCCGCATCCCGTTGACATGCCACTTCATGCCTTTCACACGCAACGCCCAGCTCGCAGAACAACGTCGCTGTATCTGGCAGAAGTGAAGACCTATCACATGCCCTGAGGCACCGTTGAGGAAGTTTGGAGAACCAATCTTCGAAGCTTCGTGCCTGAGTTCGCATCAACTACTGTCGTGTTAGCTGCACCGTGATGGAAAGCTTGAGCAGCCAGCCAGATGCCTTGGTCAGATAGCACCTGGAAACTCTCCGGATCATAGCCTTGCATTTGAGGCCATCTGTGGTCATGTGAAGAGCCGGCCTTGAACTTGCAGGGCTGCCGCATCAACCTTCGCTGCTGCAGGCAGGACAGCATATCACACAGCATCTATGCGGAGAGTGTTCGGGAAACGACTGTGCGGTTCTGCAAGCAAAAGCTGTACACTGCATGCAATTTGACTAGGGCAAGCTAAATACTGATAGTTATAGATCGCAATGTGATAATGAAGACTGCAGTGTCCACGGCTGCTTGAGTTCAGATAATTTTGAGGACCCATTGCTTGGCATGAAGGGAAAAGATCTGGTCCGCGGAGAGTGCCTACTACAGCTTCTAGGGCAATAACTTTTTCCGAATTTGGGGAAGAACAGCAGCTGCTGCCCAAATGGACTCTTCGAGTTGCTGGACTGCTTCGTAGCAGCGGCACACTTCGCGTTGGTTTTCGTCGCCTCTTTGACGGCTGTAACAGCCTGCTCCCGTTTGGCAGCCTCCAGCTGTTTTCTCATATTTCCAGCCTTCGCCATTCTTGCATGGTTTGCCACACGTCTTCTCTCATGCGTGGTCTGCAGCCGCGTCTGGGTGGGCAAAAGCAAGAAGCTTAAGCGAAGCCACCACATGGGGAAGTCCGATGCAGTGGATTTGCCCCTGCTTGGCATAGTCCAGATCGTATTACTCCCAAGACTCAGGGCCCTTGTAGCGACTGGAGATTCTTTGCGGCCGAAAGAGGGGATTCTTTGAATGGAAGGTCATCTCGGCCACCTTTGCAACCAGTTCTTGGACGCAATAATGGATGCTCAGAACCTTTTGCTTGGTCACTAATGCATGCGTCTCCGTGTCTTCGAAGCCAGCATCGCGACGGCCTGTTATGCATCGGTTGCCAGTATTCATCGCAGAGCAGGTTGTGTTGCCAAACTTCCAATAGATGTTGCCTTCCAAGGCCATTTCAAAACATTGGCAAAATCTGAAATTGACCCCTGGAAAGTTCTAAGCCCACCAGCACTTCACGCACGCACAACTGTAGAAGAGGAAGTCTTGAAGTTGTAGCTGTCCAAGGCGCAAACTGAAGACATACTGCGCGCGCAGTTGATACTTCTCTGTCGCTTCTTGCTCGTTCTTTATCCTGTACTGTGCATTGTTCAAGGTAGGATAGAACATCATGTCGTACTTCTGGAACAGGAGCTGCCGCACCTCCAGCTCACTGGGCTCATGGATTGTGTCCCATTGCACGTTCACGTTCACCTGGGCTTCGTGATCTTCCCGGGCTCCGAACTGAGAACCCAGTTCATCACGAAGCCCGGATGAACATGCAGTGGGCACAATCCATGAGCCCAGTGAGCTGGAGGTGCGGCAACCCTTGTTTCAGAAGTATAACCTGAAGCTCTACTCGACCCTGACAACAGCAACAACGAGGACTAGTAGCACATTGCTCGGAAAGCCATGATGGCGAGATGAGAGGCTGCAGCGGCGGGAATGTTGCGACCATATGGAACTACTGGTGTTCGGATAGATTGTGGAACGTTTGTCGTGTGTAGTGTCGGCAGAAGTGCATCCAGCAGGCGACAAGAGAATGTGCATACTTTCGGAACTTTTCTGACCGGACCCTACTACGTTTTATAAACTATAGCTCTAGAACTTAAAATCAAGGATCCTCTCAAAACAATCGTGAAGGTTACGGCATAAGCCATCCTTGAAGCTCTGGCGCATGGCAGCAAAATTCAAGCACTACGTCTTCAGGTAGGAGAGCAAAGGCGGCATCGTGAACCTTGATTTTGCTTAGAAGCCTGAAGAAGGCCATCGGAATCACGTCCTTGCGTTTATCCTTAGCTGTATTTGTTGCTTCAATGAGTTTCGATGCCAGTAGCAAGGAATCCCATGATTATGGGTCATTGTGGCTGGTACCATGATTATCAGCTCTTCCAAAAGACTTGCAGTTGCATTCCGCATTCAACGCGGCCTACTTAGATGAAATGTCAGGACAGGCCAGCTTAGAACAACTGATACCTATAGGCGCAACGAGCACGTGCATCTGGAGCCCAGCAGAAGGGGTCTGGCAACTGTGCCGAACAATGATCTAGACAAGACAAAATGTAACGCAACATGCGCACGCTCACCATACTCTCTCTCTCTCTCTCTCTCTGTCTCTCTGCGTCTCTCTCTTTTGCTTTTGCGAGGGTAAAGGAAGAGAGAGCGACCCTCTTCCCCGGCGCTTCGAGCCCCCCACCTCTATCTCTTTCTACTGTTTCTGTTTTTCTCGCTCACACACACACACACACACTCTCTCTCTCTCTCTCCTCACTCGCTCTCTGCAACCTGCACGTGGATCAGAATGGACATTGTAATTGTAGATTGTAGAATTTGCAAAGAGAGTGACCTTCAAAGTGCGCTGCTTCAACACCTTTTGCAGCCAACCGACAAACAATTTGTTTTTCCGGTCAGTTCGGCAACAGATTTCTTTGGCGAGGAGCGCCTGGAGAGAACGTTTGTCACACATGCACAATCTTCAATTCTTGAAGACCTCGAAGCGGCTGCCCATCCGTGCTGTGGCCTTCATCAAACACCTCTGACAGGTGGTAGAAGACAACTGCAGGCACTGATATCATGTTCCAGGCTTTCGCTGGCACTGGGCTAGAGTTTGTCTCCATTGTGCTGCACGCACTGGCTGTGCACCCAGAGCTGCTTGACTTGCCCGTCAGCTTGGCCATCTTGCTCAGATGCCAGCGTCTTTGTGCATTAGGTGGCACTGACTTCAGGCCTTCTAGAATAGGAAGCGCGGGTGTGCCTGGGTCTAACCACCGATCCTTCCTGGGCGGTAGGCTGGGGAACACCGGGAGACCAGGGGGAGAGTCCATGTCCACGGTTCACAAAAAACTCCGCTACCGATTTGCCGCTTGATGCTGCGGATGTCGTGATGGTCGCGGAACAACACTCGACATGGAATGCATGCCACCCCGATTTTCCCGTGACAGTGTGTTCTCGGAGGGAGGTGGGGCTCACGAATTGGCAAGCGGCTGATGCAAGAGCTGTGCGACCAGCGGCATTTGATGCACCTAAGCCATGAACGATCATGAACGGGCTGCTGGCTTTCGCACGTGTTGCCCTGCAACAGTGGCTTGCTGCTGCAAAATGAAACCCACACGACTTCGGAGGCCTCTCCGCAGACTCAGACTCAGCCGACAAACTCAAGACATCCCCTCCAAATTGCAGTTGGATGCCGAACTAAAAATGGCTGAGGCCTTCGCCACATCGCTTTGCGGAACATGAACTTCCCGGTCATCGCCGCACTCGATGAAGGCAATCTCAAGAAAGGCCCCACTAACGACTTAGTTCGTCACAGATTGGCAAAAAGGACCAGAAGATTCAGGCGCTTGTACGCACCCACTCAATAAACTTTCAACATGAGCAACACTAAACGTGAGAAACACAGAATCACACTTCCGCACTGACAGAGCTTTCCAACGAGTGTACAGCCAAAAGGCCTTTCCGTGTCAATAACTGCTCCTTTCAGCCGTCCACTGCATGTTGTTCTCTACAGAAGTGATGGAAAGGACAAACGGCCGTACTGACCAAGCATGCGGATTCTCGAGATGTGAGGGAACGATGCGCAAAATCAAGCTTGGTTTTTTTTACCGGCCGTGCTCTAGATGGAACTGACGGTATTTCATGATATGTCGTTGCGCTACTGTGGAAGAATGAGGCTGTCAACACAACACTGCATTGCAGGTGGAGTGGGTGTGTGCGCTGCTGTGGCAACAAGGCGTGAGAATAACCATGACTGACCTGCGTCGAACTACTTCGAAGGAAGTGAGAAAAGCAAACTCTGCAATGTGCTTATATGACTCAGCGCGGCATGACCCAATTATCTTCTGGCCTTGCCGGTGTCATTCAGACTCACATCCTTTGTGGGGGCCAAGCTGTGGCAGAACCTTGGCTTCATTACTCAGTTCGTCAAGGCTGGCAGTTTGCAATGCCCTGAATGCCCCGAGCCGGAGCAAGATAGCAAGCTTCAGGAAGCTGATCGTTGGGTCTGCCCAAGAGCTGAGCCCAGAACTCCCAGAGGTTGTTGACATCTGCCATCTCTGCAGGTTTTATCCTGGCATTCGTGGGCCTCTGCTTGCCGGGTGTCGGCACCCGACAGCAGGAGCGAACCTGTTCACGTCCTGACCTTCCCATCGACTGCTTAGTTGCCGTGGCAAGTCTCAGCCACACCGAAAGCGAGCCGGGCCAGCTGCTGCAACAGGCAAGTCCTGATGGTGACGAGCACGACAAAATCCAGTTTTGCCATGGCAGACCATGCAAGCCATGCAAGTGCAGCCGCAGAAGCAGAAGCAACAACAACTGCTGGAAACGACATGGGAGCGGCATGCAGCTGCAGGTGCAGCAGCGGCGGCAGCAGTGGCAGCAGTTTTGGCAGCTGTGGCAATCGGCAAGCGACAGCGGTCGTGTCAGCGTTGGCTGCGCGTTTCAGGGCAACATTTCGGACGCTTCCGGGAACTGGCTCGGGTCTATCGGATCAGCCCCCTGTTTAATCGGGTCCGGGTCCGCGATTCAGCACGCACGCAGCCGGATGGGAAGAGGAACGGTTGAAATCAAGAGAAAGACATGGGTTTACGCGCCCAACACCTTAGACCCAGAAGCCCTAAAAGTGGACGGGTGCGAAAACACACAGCTGAGAAGTGTGCATCATGCGAAAACCCTAAACCGTAAAAGGAGTATCCAGTGAAAAAACCTAGACCGCTCGTAAGAGGAGTAGCTGGTGTGAGAACCGGTGAGAACCGAAACCCCAACAGGAGTACCTGATTCGTTACACAAAAAGCAGAACGAAAACCCCAAAAAAGGGTAGCGGGTGGGTGTGGAAACCCAAAACCCGGTGAGTGCTGAAGCCCCAAACCCAAAATGAATATGTTTCACGAAAACCCAAAACTCCAAAAGGAGTTGCTGCTTCCAAAACCCGGAGCCCCAACAGAAATAAGTAACACGAAACACGAAACTCTGAAAGGAGCGGGTGGTTGCGAAACGCAACACCCCAAAAAGTGTTAGGATTGCGGCTGGTGCAAAACCCAGCCCACCAACCGGAGTGGGTAGATGCAAAACCCTGGATGCCAACCCCGACACCCTAGCAGAGTCTCCGGAGTGAGTGGGTGCGCAACTCCAAACACAAGTTAACCCGAGCCATACCAAACCAAGCAAAGCCAAATCTTTTCCATTGAGAACTCCCTGCACCGCCGCTGTGTAGTGGGGCGACTATTGTCCAATAGGAAAGAGATATCTAGTCGTAAAGGCCTATCTATTTATTGGGAAAACCGCTGTGTAATTGGAAACCATTGGCGATCGGAAACAACGCACCAATTCACGAGGCAACTAGTCGAATATAAAACTGACTGCTCCTGACTGTTCCTGCTACTGCTTCTGCTACTTGCAATGACAACAACAACAACAACCAGCACTATCAGCACCAACACCGACACCACGACTACTACTTGTTCTACTGCTACGACTACAAAACCAAGACCACCACCAACTCCGCCATCACCACCGGGGATGATCAAGCCAGGGTTCCACCCAAGCGAACCCACCTGCGGCTGCGCATGCATTCTTGTCACCAACGGCTTGGTACAGGTCAGCGTCGCTCGGCCTTCCGCAATCCCTCATTATTCTTTGGCCCAGACTCGACAGTCTGCTGCGCGGAAAGTTTATTCAAGAGCATGTCACACTGGGGAAAAAATGACAAATGCTGCGCAGTCTTCGGCGCTTCGCCACTGCCGTCGCTGTGCACACTCCCTAAAGCACGGTCAACTGGAAGCATCGTGCAAGCAGAATTACTATTCCTTCACTCCTGCGGTCCTCATGGGATCAAAGCCACAGTTGTTGATTTTCCCCTTGTTCCTCAGCTCTGTGGGGCAACCGTCTTGGAAAGGATGCAGCAAGCAAGGTGCCATGCCAAGACTAGCCAAGGATCTTGTTCTGGGTGTTGATCTCACCTGCGCGCACTCAAAGGTCGCGACACCAAGAAAGGACAGACACCTTCTTCTGTTACACTTTTTTGCAGCCTGTGACTCGGGGCCTGTAAAAACTTGCAGTCCTTCTGTTTCCTTGAGTATAAAGGTTGAGTTAGATGCTGTTTCCGCGCCTTGCACAAAGGACGGCTGGAATGCCCCCACGAGGGCAAATTTCAGGCGCACATAATCCTGACACGCAGGCTGCTGCAGCAGTGTGTCACAGCATGCTCTGTCGTTGCCGAAGCGGACGCTGTGAGCAAGCAAGGCTTTAAGTGCACACCATCTAGGGTCTACATATGGCGACAGGGGCAGTTCCAACGTCCTTCGTGAAGAGACCCTCAACCTCCTCCGGATTCAGCTGCTGGGATCTGTGCTCGTCCACAGGCTCTGCAAACTCGAGCTGTCTTGATGAATTCCACATGCGCACCGCTTGGCACTCAGCTCTTGCGTAAGAAAAACCACATGTTGCCTCTTGAGCCTGGAGAGTGCTTGAAGTGCGGGATGTGCCTTCCGATTCCGTTCAGTAAAAGGCTTGGCGGCAAGGAGCAGGTTGCATCGAATCTTCAAGATGCCGTCCCGGCATCAGTGTGAGCCTTGGCACTGGGTACAGCGGCACCCAGCTTGGCATCCAGCTCAACCACCAACGCTGCGAATTGGCTCATACCTGCCATACACCGATAAGGAGCTACTCGTGGCAGCTTTGAGTGATGTGTCGACCGTGGCTTCGCATCACAATCTTGGCAGGACCGCGGCTCACAGAAACGCAGCTCTGGTCCAGCCAGTTGTGGTAGGCTCTCGCCTCAAACGCAAGCTTCCAACTTCTCCGAGGTCGGGTGTGACACAACTCACACAAGCAGAAGATTCATGCCTGGGTCTTCGAAACGGTCAGGAACTCCTTGTACAAGTTCCTATACCTTTCGAGCGGCCAGCAAGCGGCAAGCAGGAAGCGGTTGAAGAATGATCGACAAACCATCACATTCTCTCCAGAAAAGAACCCTGCGAGATTTGTACATTCGTCAGCTTGCAGTGACGGGCACATGATCGGCTCCGAGAACTGTCCGTCGTCAAAGCGGGCCCGGGTGATGTAATTGTGCGCGAGGTGTGCAGGAAAGTCCTTTAGTGCACTTTCAGAAAGCTGGCTTCTGCTAAGGGAATTCGGAACACTGCTTTGCATGGCTTTGCTCGCCTCAAGATTCCGGCAGTTGGCTGGAGCTGCCATTTTGAAGACATCCTGTCGGTTTCGATGCGAAGCCGGAAAGCACGATTCTGGAAAAGCTCCCGCCCATGCTGCCTGTGTGCTCAGCGCAGCAGCTATGACCACACCATCTCCTGGAATTCCCAAAGCCCAAGAAAGAACCACGAGCTTGGTGAGCTGGATCCTTGGCACGGCTGAACGAACGAGCCGCCCACCCACGCAACATGTGTGAACATGAACACAGAAGGTTGTTCTTTTGCCGTTGTTGAACTTGTATCTCAGGCAGATTCGAGTTTGAGGGAATGGAACTACTGGGGTTCGGTCGAAAATCGGACTTTGATGCGTGCACGGAGCACTTTTGGCTACTCACGAGATCAACGATTGAAAACATGAAACTCCGCAATCCTCTCCACTCCAAGCACGAATCGACACTGTGAAAAACTGCAAAACCAAAAATCCATTCTTCATTTTCGAAATGCACACGAAACCTTCTTGCAAGCAACGGCCCACCACGCGCCGCGCAGCTGCAGCTTTGCAGAACGGTTCCGTAACTTCTCGGAAGCGTGTTCTGGCAATGACATGTGTCATACTAAGTGTCGTCACTGGACAGATTCGACAAAAACACCACAGAGGATATCTGTTTCAGCCCGAACAAAATACGGCATCGGAAGCGTTTGCATGAACTCATTGAGCCCCGAATCCCGCAGATTCCCAGATTCACCGATTCTATATGAAGCTCGGCATGGGCTTACTTACTGGCATGGCAGCTAAGAGCGTTAATTGGTTTTCAAAGCTGAAAAGAAACACTGAATCACTTCACCCAAAAGCTGGATACTCACGATTCCATCCTGATGCTGACGAGCACTGTCTGATGCTCATGACTCATGATGGCTCTGGCACGTGCCACATGCCCTGAGTGCCACCGAAACAGCGGCAGCAGATGCCTTAGCCTCGTTGCCTTAACTCCAGCCGGCTTGGTATCTTCGACACCCATCACAGCTTTAAGGTATTTTGCTCCCTGCCTCTTGAGCGCTCGATCTTTCAGGATATGTCGGAAGATCCACTTCAAGCATCTGCAACTGCTGCATTCTCCGATGTCCCTGCTCTACCTGCATTTCAGACGTCGTCATGGTCGTCGTCGTCACAGTTTGCTGCTGCAGCTACTGCGGTGTGGCGGTGATGCATTTGCCGTTGTGAGTCATGTTCGAGAAGTGACTGGGGGTTGGAGACCTCAAGTTGCTTTTCACAGAACATGAGAAACATGAGACATGCTGATACTTGCGAACCTCTAAAGAGACGGGACTCAAGGCTCATCGACAACCCCCGCGATCAATCTTCTAATTTCCACCAGACGTCTCATTGGCCTTTCACAGGTGCTTGAGCTATCCAAAGACGATCGTGTCTCAATTCGTGCTTGTCTGAGTCTGCCTGCGGGGCCATGCTACACAACACGACGGAAACCCAAGCCCTGAATTCGCCGTAAGCCCTGTAAGCCTATAGCCTATAAGTTTATGCCAAAGCATACAAGCACTAAGTTGCTAACCACGCGGTGGCTAGATCCATGCTGGATAGACGTCGCACAGTCTCGAATGTCCGCTTGTGCAACCTGCTGGCTGCAAACCTGTCTTGACAAGCCGCGTCAGTCATCACCCTTCGTACGGGCGCATCCGGCGCAACTAGACTAGACCATGAACGAGGACGGAACACACACACAAGAACAAGTGCGACAGAATCACTGAACCAATGAGCCTTGGACACCTTGCCCACGGATAACCAAAAAAACAAGGCCTGCAGCACTGTACAACAAGACGCCCTACGGCCCAAAACAGAACCCAAAACCTTTGGCTCTCCAAATCCGCACACGGGAAACATTCTGAATGAACGTCGTGGTTGCGCCTCCAACACTGAGACGTGTATGTCTTTGCCGCAAATGACAAGCATGTCAAATAAAGAGGTGGGCCGGGGGGTGAGGTCACTGCTTGGTGAAAGTTTTGCTGAGGCGGGATCGTTGTTGGCATGAAGACTGCGATTCGGCCCAAGGATGCGACCTGCGGTGCTGCCACAGCGAGCAGCTGCGAGTTGCGAGCTCCTCCCTTCTCTCCACATCTCTACCTCACCATCGGCTTTCAGGGCGCCCAGGTCCTGCACCACCGCACAGTGGCACAGCTTTCTCTTCTTCGAAACACAATCATCGCCGACGTGGGCTCGAGCCATCTCTTCAAATTAAACTCGGACGTGACGGATTGGCACTTGGCTCCTGCAGGTTCTGCGCGGCTGCAGCAATCCGCTGCTGTGGCCTGACATGGCTCCGGCACAAGAATTTTCGCTACCGTTCCCATTCCCTTGTCGGAAAGCCCTACGTCTGCATTGACAAATCCGGATACAGTTTCAAAGCCGGACGTGACCGCCGATTTACACGCTGGGCCCGTGGCGGGGAGTCGATCAGCTGCTGAAGCAAGTCCTTCGAGTGCAAAGGCGGGTCTGGTCCGAAACTCGGCTTTGGCACAGCGCAAAGCCAGGGCCACACTCCTCCGGAGGTCCAAGATGGTGTAGCAGCACACGGCCTTGCTTCAGTTTGTCATTGTTGCTTGTTGCACAGCAGGCAGTTTGCTGAGGTCTTGGGGAAAAGCTCTTGAGGTAGATGGACTCCAAAGGAACTCCCAAAACCTGAGGCAAACAGATCTGTCTGTTTTGGGCGTGGACGCTTGAGCGCTGGCAGCTGGCACCTCTGGCGAGGCATACGGTTGCAGCCGGTCGTAATGGCTGCGGGGGAACAGATAAACGATGACCTCGGGCACGGGATGGCAGGGGGCAGGGCGAGTCCCGCACACGCTGATCCCTTAACAAGGGCGAGGCTCCTTCCTGCAGCCGGCCGCAACGCCCTCGGCCTCTTGCGAAGTGGGGCCAGATCAGAGCCTGAAAAGCCTGAGGAGTTGGGTTTAGGGGGCCTCTGAAGTGTGCCGGTGCTGTCCTAAAGCTTGTTCCGTCCTAAGAACACGCAGTGACGCTGCTAGGCTTTCCACGCTGTCGGCAGGTCGCCTGCGAACTCCAGGTGTTGCACAAGCTCCTGGCTCACATCTCACAACTTGTCTCACAACTTGAGACAAGAAGAACGATTTCACGGTAAGTTCGACAAGTCGCTGCATGGCCCTCTCTTCATCGAAAACCATCTTCCGCACGATGCCGAAATCCAAGACGTATCTCACCTTTCAACTGCTGCATGTCACTGCATGTCGCGCAAACAGGACGGACAAGGGGTACCAGTAGCAGAACATGGACACAAGAACCTCTCAAACAAACCTCTCGCAACTCTCGGCAACTCCATCGCATGATTTGCTTTCTCAGGCTGAGGAGTCGGCATCGGGAATGGTAATCGATGACCTCTGAAAATCCGCGTTCGTTCGGCCATGAGTCTCCACTCGGCCCACAGGGAGGAGCCGAGCTCAGAACTCTGCGATGTTCGTGGAGAGTACGACTTTGCAGTGCCCAGCCTCAGAAAGGCGCAAGAAAGCGAAGATGTCTAGAGTCTAGGCCGCTCCGCCGGGGCTCCTCCGCCGGGGCTCCGGGCCGGCGGCGGCAGCAGCGCCTTCTTCTGCTGCTCGTGGGGCACCACCGAGTGGAGCAGGTGGAAATCCTACGGAGAAACGCATCTGGGCGAGGCGAGAGCTTAAAAAGGCCAAGGTCCCAACCAGGGGGCATTGGTCGCGCCTGGTCGAGTGCGTGAAGGCCTGCGAGAGGCGAGAGAGGCGCTGCATCGAAACGCTTCGAAAGTGCTCGCAATTGAAAAGTCGGAGTCCTACCAAAAACATCCAGAGCACCGAGCTTCTCAAACACAGCTCTCCCCAGAGCTCCCAGCTCTGGTCGAGCCTCGTGGACTTGCTCGATCTCGGAAAGCCCGGGCCTGGCTCACATCACAGCGCCCTCCGCCCTCCGCTCTGAAAGCTCCCGCTTTTTCCCTCTTTCTCTCTTGCTGTTCTCTTCAGCTATGGCCCTCTCTTCTCCCTTCGCTGAGTGGCAAGAAGATCAGCACGCAAAGACCTGGCTTCGCCACGGCCTGCCGTCCAGAAGATGCCAGGCTGCCAGACGCCCCACATGTCACCCCTGGGTGCCGGACCTGGACGATGCCCACAGAGGCCTCGAAGAGCTGCGGATTTACCTCCGAAGTCCAAGAGCTCAGCTGAGCGCGTCAAGGCTAAGGCTTTCCAAGCTTCTGCACTAGAGAAAGTGGTCGTCACGTCGAGAGTGCGTGTTCGCATGTGTTCGGGGCCCCAAGTTCCTCCTTGCCGAGGTGGACGACAGGAAGCGTCTGCACTCAATGGTCTAGCATGCAATCAAGCCCTTCGAATTGATCATGAGGATAGCATTTTATGCTTCTAGACGCTGTGCCACATTGTCAAATCTCTTTCGCTGCTCGTCAGACTTGTTTGCCGTTTGGAAACCAAGAAACGGCAAAATGAAAGTTGAACAAACAGATCCGTCAGCCTCGACGCGGCCTCCGATTTTGTCAAACCTTCATTGGGCGATTTCACCAGACACGAGTGTTAGTGGGAGACACGTGAGTTGCATCTCGGCCTGTCGAGACGGACTCGTGGGATGAAGCCAGGTAATGCCTGAAACCGAGGGCGGCCGAGCACCACAAAGCACCGCAAAGCAACCCAGGGCGCGAGCTCCGTTCACCAGGTCGTCCAAAAAGTATGGGTACCTCGGCTTTGCAAAAGCGTCGCAAACATCGAGACAACGTCTGTTGATTCCTACATTGGTATCCCACGTCTCGGCAGTCCGACCATCACGTTCTTATGATGACTCGCTTCGGCGCAGCTGCAACTTAAAAAAATGCAGCTGGAGGGGTGACCTTGACCTCACAATGGTGCAAACAGTCATGTGCTACGGCGCGGCTTGTGAACTCGCCCATGTTGTTGCAACGATCCCGACACACAAACACGGAAACGCAAACCCACTCTCTTGCAGTTCGAAGCTTGGCAGGCCTCTTTCTTTCGAGGTATCTCTACACTCGTCATTGGCTCTTCCAGGACAAACAGCATGGCAGTGACATTCTCACGCGGAAGTTCCTAGCTTGGCCTCTTGCCACGAAATTGCAGGTGCGTCAGAGGGAATCCTTTCCAAAACACAAGTAGTTTCGCGGCCACTGGCCACTGAGCGCTGCAGTAAACCGAACACTGTGTACAAGAAGCCTTTGCTAACAGGTGGGTGGGTACAAAACACACACCGACTTTGGTCGAAGCCATCAGCTGTCGTATCCAAGGCCGTCGGCCTACCCGACAGCGAACACTTTTGGCTCGCATGCTCGCTCATGTTCCATAAGGTCGAAGGAGTTGTGCAAAGTGTTCCAGTTCGCCTTCAACCTCAACCTGCCTGCCTACACCACAATGCCAAGCCCGGCCCGGCAACGGTCACTGTGATCCTGGACATGTGCTGTACCAGCGAGGAACACATGCGCTGAAAGAACACATGCACGGAGAGACTTGACGACACATATACACAACCATGCAATTGGCTGAGGAAGCTGCTCCAACTCTGCCACAATTGCATAACGCAAAGCAAGACCAGACGCTGAGAAGTGCAGGATGTGCTCAAAGCAGCGAAGTTCAGATTGCGTTTAAATGGGACAGACATGCGACCAAGATGGCCACCAGCTGGAGTGACTCTCCCCCATGTGCACCATGCAGGATCATGCAGGTACGTTTGCTCTGCATGCACAGAAGCGTCTTCGTTGGCCGGAGACTTCTGTGCTGCACTCCAGCCCCCCTCTGGGTCGAAGCTACATGAACTGAAATGACTTCAGACCTGCAGCACGTGAAGACCCTTAGGACTTTTAGGAACAAGGTGTGCAGGCACACACAGACACACACACAAACGGCACTGTGTATGTGTGCGGGCTCGGGCCAAGGTTTTCGTTGACATGACTCGCACAAGTGGCGGAACTTGGCAGCCCTGTTCGGATTGCTTCAGGCAGGCACCTTTCCACCAGCTCGGAACACAAATCAGGAAAGGTATTTTGTACGACCAAGCGACGTGGGAAAGCGCCGCGATCCGACCACGATGGGTTTTCGCTCCACCTGAACACCTGTGCTTCTCTGTTCCGAACGGTTGAACAAGTCTTATACCTCTGACAAGGCGCGCCTTGACCAGAAAAGAAGTCCAGGAACCTCGTGCAACTCAAAACGGCCAAACACATGAGGCCATCGCCATCTGGCACGAATGGCACACCTCGCTACAGTCGCTGTCTAGAAAAGCATCCTTGGACTCCGGGCACCTGGCTGAGTTGCATCCACCGTCGCGCTCATGAGGACCAAGCGCCTGTCCACTCGGAGCAAGTGCCTCCTCTCGTGCCGCTCGCGTCGACGCCGAGCTGCGAGCAGTGATGGATTCTTCTCGAGGCTCCGCTTGAGGAGCAAGCACAAGAGGTCCTGATACGGAAATGCGCTGGAAACAGGGCGACGAAAGAAGCAACGCCCCAAAGAGGCTGTCGTGACGGGCGCATCCCGGTCCATGTCCAGATCTCTTTCATGGATCTCGTCAAGCACGATGTGCGTGTAGTGGCGCAGGGCCTCGGACCGGCAACCTCCCAATCTAGCGACCCGCTCCCGTCGTCAGAATCTGAAGAACCATGAAAGAACGAGCGCCTGCGGCCGATGAGCCAGGTACATTAGCAGCCACCCTGTCTGCACGCAACTTCACAAAAACTCGACCCTGCAACCTGGCCTGTGGTGACAAAAGACAGGCGCGTCGATTCTGAAACCTCCCGAGACACCCAACTAAATCAACGAGAAACCCAAGGGAACAGGAGTCAGCCACAACGTCCATGAAAATATATGTTGCGTTGTGGTTTGGTCATCCCGTGGCGAAACCAGAAGGAGGCGAAGCCATGACAGAGATGCAAGGTCCGCCATGTCCGCCGCCACGCCTTTCCATCCATGGCGACCCGGTAGCCTGGACAGAGACGTGACACCATGAACCGCTGTCCTGGACCATAGAGCCATAGGGAAGGTTTGGGAGCTATGCTGGGCCGTCCACCAACGGTTTCGCCAACCGCCTCTTGGCACTGGGATGCGACACCTAGACGGCGCTGTAGAGCATGAGTCAAGTCGATCAAAGTGGTGCGCTTGCTGTTCACCCGAATTGCCAGGGTCCTGGCGCTGTGCCAGGGAGATCGCCGCAATGCGTCGCGGCTGGGTAACAGCCTCACACTCATGCCCTGCTCTCCACTCGCAGGTTTACAGTCCACATGAGAAGAGCTGCTTCGTTCAGCGATTGCATTTGCGGTCTGTTTGTTTGTGTATTGCTCGTTTGTTGGTTTGTTGGTTTGCTCGTTTTTTTTATGCATTTGCTTGCTTGTTCGTATTTGTTTACTTGTGTACTGGCTTGTTGGTTGGCTTATTTGCTTGTCGCTCGATGCTTTTTGAAGCTCTGTTTTGTCTGATGGAACTTGTGCACTACATACAAAACGTGCAGCGTAGGTCTTAGCTCCACTGTTTCTTGG